CACATATGCCGTGTGATGGTGGGCGGCACTTCCAAACGTGATGTTCAGGTTTAACTTCCCAGCTATGTCGATCTTGTCACCAGACGGAGTCTGAAGGGTAACACAGGATGACATCCAAATAAGTTTATCTTTAAACTGTTCAGCTTAATCTTTCCTAATGATGGTAACATTAGCTCTTGTGTCAATGATCATATTGCAAGGAACTCCATCGATATGCCCATTGATGGACAGTCCAATACTGTTGCCACTCACTGTAGAAATCATGAGCGTTTTAAAACAAGGTTTTTCATTATCTGGCAAACTCCGTTCCTTGATATGGTCATTAAATTTGTTTCCTGTGTCGTTGCTGAGAAATGGTCTCAATTTCCCTGCCCTGGGGTGTTCTGCAGTTCCTTCGTATGTGGCCTTCAACCCTGCAGTTCCAGCACTTTAGGGTTGGTTTCTTCTCACCAGTATTCCGTCTCAAGGTATTCACTGGTCTTATCAAATCATCCGCTTCATTGTCCGTGCCCTGGGGTGTTCTGCAATGCCGTCGTATGTGCCCTTCAGTACCACATTTCCAACACCTTACGGTCAGTTTCTTGTCACCAATATTCCATCTCAAGGCGTTTATTTGTATAGTTAAATCGTCTAGACGAGCAGTGACTTGATCCCCTGGCTCCTGGACTTGAGCAGCTCTGACTGTGTGGCGGTCTCGATGGGTGGCTTGCTGGGCTGCCTCAAATTTCTTGGTGTACAGTAAAGCGCTTTTCAAATCTTTAACATCCGCCACTTGCAGTGCTTTCTGTATTTCAGGGTCCTGGATGCCATCAATGAAATATTGCAGCGACACGATTTCTCTTGTTTCTGTCAGGCACTCCGAAAAGGCGTGATGTGACAGCATTTCAACATCCGTGGCGAGCTCCTGAAGTGTTTCGGTAGGCTTCTGCTGACAGGATTTTAGTTGAAGCCTGCTGTAGATTTAAACACTTCTCTCCAAAGCGCAGCTCCAATGCGCCGGATAGAGCTTCAAAGTCTAATCTCTGGTTTTCAGGAAGAGTCTGCAGGATATCCGCTGCGTCTGCTCTCAAAGAAGCGGCAAGATGACTGGCCTTAGCTTGGGAATTCCATCTATTCGCTTCCACTATAGAAAATTGCGTCTTATATACTTGCCAGGATGTCTTCCCATCTTATGTAGATATTTTCAGAGAGGGACAAGCAGGCATTGGTAAAAATTTAAAACCATCCGAATTGCTGCCTACCGTCGCTGCAAATTTCTTTAAAGTATCCACTTCTTTGGAAACTCTATCATCAATTTGTTGTTGAACAGCAGAAACCTTTTCTTCAATTTCTCCAACTCTATTTTCAACCATGTTCATTCTATTTTCCATAGCCTCACATTTGTTTTCTATTATATAGGTAATTTCTCTTTTCATTTGTTCTTGACCTTCTTCAATCTTTTCTTGACCAGCTTGAAAGGCTTTCATTTTTTCCTTAACCGATTTCATCTCATCTTTAACGGAATCTGTCATCTTTTCCTGACCAGCTTTCATCTTCTCTTTCATTTCTTCCTTAAATAAGGCAAAGACTGATATCAACTGCATGAACTGTTCTTCCATTGCTCTTGTTATTGGCATTCAAATCCCACTTCTGACACCAAAAATTGTTGCGTGCGTACGGGTTTGTTACGAAATGAATGCACAAGTCCGTTGAAAAATTAACAAAAATTTATTATTATCACAACAAATATGATTAAATGTCCTCAAATAATTGTGCAGTATCACAATATATCACAGTAATTATCTTCTAACTACTCAAACGTTCAAGAGAACTTAATTCAAAACAGCTAAAGAAAGCTAATCTGCGAATTCGCTACAGTCAACATGAGCAGTTTTCTAAACAAACTCGAAAACAACAACAAGCTAACTAAAATCACTGACTAACCGAATTGAGAGGTTTTCCTCCTTTTTATAAGATTTTTAAATTGCACGTGAGAACGTTCTGGAACTTTCTCGAAATCAAAAAGAGATATTTATTAAATGTTAAATGCACGTGCTCTTGTATTTTCAATTTTCCGGCTTAGCTTTCTTTTAATATTCGTCATGCGCTGCACTGCACGGAGAATAAAACAATTTAATTTATAATTGAACTAACATTAGCTTTTTAAATACCAAATTCGTAACAATATTATAAACATTTCCTGAAGTATATTTGCATAGTGCATATGCTGGGTTGGATTTTGCACTTCAAGAAGAATAATCCAATTCCAAAAGTTCAACATATCCATGGTGATTTGTCTTGCAAGGAATATATAGCAGTTGAAAACAAGTTATTGCCACTAATTCATTGGGAAACATTCTCTGTAGTTTGGATGATTCTATGTTATCAAGTTTACATCCCTGTCCTGAATAAGGTGGTGTTTTACAATTAAAAATAAAGGTTTCTCATCAAGAGGATTGATATGATTTTTGACATCCTGCAGTTTTGCTTAATCATAACCATCCTGTTGTTTTCAGATTGATTTTTGATATGCATTTAAATTTAGCTCATGCTGGTACTCAGATGATGAGAACAATTTTAAACAGTATTACAGTCAAAAGTCGTTAATTCGGACACCCATAATTCGGAATGATCTATAATCCGGACCTCAAAACTAAAAACTTTCTGCGCATGCGCCGCGTTGACACATGCGCATAAACGTTTACGCATGCGCGTAAGACCTTTTACGACTGCGCATATGAGTGTGCGCAAGTGCAGAATACGTTTTTGCGTGCGCGTTTTATGCATAATGGACGTATAAGCTAAAATTATCTAATTATCTATTTCAATTAATGTTGATGATTGCGTTGTTCCTTAATTTTCGAATTGGATTCGGCTTATTATTTTTTGCAGACTGTAAGAGCAATACTATAAAAGTAAACTTGAACTTTCGATTATGTCAAAAGGAATTTCCGATTCTGGAGCTCCCAAAAGGATCATACAAAACGAAAGTATGTTTCGATGTCCATCAAACAAAAAGTGGAACTGCTGCAAAAAATGGATAAAGGCGTATCCTTTGTTTTCGAATTGGATCCGGCTTATTATTTTTTGCAGACTGTAAGAGCAATTTTATAAAAGTAAGCTAAACTTTCGATTATATCAAATAGAATTTCCGATATATATTTGTTAATATGTAAAGGATCTAAAGCGAAAGTATGTTTTGAAATCCGAAATCTGTTTATCAATTTCACGCTGCTCGGCGGGGTGATTGCCGCGGCGGGCACGTAATGAATTGGAAGTTGATCTGTCAGCACTATCCTTATCTTCAGCGCAGATGTTTTTATTTTATTTGGCTTATAATTCCTTACCAAATGTAGTATTTCATCTCGATATGCTCCGTCTTTGATATGATTTAAAACAAGTTCCTCGTCATTATAATTCTCTTTCGATAGCGAAGAAAGTACAAGAGGTTATTGAAAACGAAAAAATTTCGATTGACAAATTTGTCGGTGTTCTCGACACAGCAATTATAGGACTTGAACAGCAGAACTTTGTAACTGAACAAGAAATTATGTCTGTTTAATAGAATTAAAGAGAAAGTATTATCACATGAAACGAAGCAAAACTTAAACAACTTACATTGAAAGAAATGTTTAATAAAGTAAACAAATAAATATTAAGCTTTTTCTTTTTGCAAATTTTGATACCCTTTAGATCATAATTGTTCTTTATTTCATAAATTACGGTTTCATATTTTTAATTTTAGAATTTCTGCATGACATCTTACGAGATTTAAACTGATGATCTATAATCCGGAATCGCCGAAGTCCCAACGAGTCCGAATTAACGACTTTTGACTGTATTCGATTTTAGGTTGTTGTCGTACAATCCAAGTTGTTCTTAATCAATGTTTTAAGGTTTAAGGGGTACAAAGTAAAAAAATATGAAGGCTTTATCAACTGCCTTCATAAGGTATTTTCTCCCTCCTTCTAGCATGCCTTCACAGTGTAACGTTAGCATACTCGGCGCATATTTGTGAGGTCTAGGTTCAAGTCCCGGCGAGGGCGTTAGTGATTTTTCATGTACTGCTTTAAAAATCTGAAAGGTTTCAGATTTTATATTACACCCAAAGAGCTGTTTTGTGTGTTACCTTTATTTATTAAAAATCATGTTCTTTGCACTTACTTTGATCCAACACCAATATCGCAAAATATTTTAAAGAGCATATCTTTAGAATTTCCGATACACAGTCTCGCGCACTGAAGATAAAAGTGTCCTCCCCAATGCAGTGTTGCCATTGCTTGCTTTGAAACCATTGAGTTTCTTAATCAAAAACTCATAAATGCTGTACAAAATATGAAATAGATAATAAAACAAATTCCAGATGCCTATAATAATGAAAGTGATTTGCCATTTATAGTGAATTGACACAAAATGCCAAACTGAAATTAATAACCCTTCTGAGCTAATGCTTCTTTGGGCTAAAATCTAATCACTCTACAATACTCTAATGACCCTTTGAGTAATAACATGCAAATATGTCATTATCCAGCACTGCTGGTCTTTATAACAGTGGACATTTGGGAAATGAAATTCTTGACCAGAATTTGGTAAACCACAATTTTCACTTGCAAATATCTAACATATTTGAATATGCGGTATGAATGTTTCTGGTGGCCATTAATGCATTGTAAGGCAATTACAAATATTTCTTTTAATGGGTTTTCTGTCACTCTTTCTGATTGACCATATGAAAAGAAAATGGATATAAAGTTTTACAACAGACTATCTCATTTGTCTATACATGTTGTTAATTCCTTTGCTGTGGGAGGATTGTTAGTACCGTTCTTTAAATTATGCCCCACACACACCACCAAGTAAAAAAAAAATAATAATAATAAATAAATAAATAAATAACAAACTTTCCCAATCAACTTAGTATTATCATTATATATGTTACTAATTTTTACTAAGTGTTATTTAATATGCTATTTTTATTGCTTTGAATTGAATATTCTAAACTTTTTTTTTATATTTCTAAGAATTATCTGGATGTCCAGAAGAAAATGTTCTTCTTGTACCATTTTCTATTGAGAAGTTTGAAGAGCATGATAGTCATGTCAATAAAGTTTTGGAGCATTTTGGCCATGTAAGAATTAAATTCATTACTTAGGTATGTAAGTGTGTTTAAAATGACCATGCTTCTCTCTTAGCAGGGAATTGTAAATACAAGGTCTGGCTATTAATTTCCAGGACTGACGTAACTGTAGGAGAACGAAAAGTTGTAAGATGGCGCTAATGATTGCATATTGAAGAGCGTTTTCTTGTGCATGTGCAGGTGCAATCAGCGCCATTCTGAAGTAAGTGGTTCTCGGGGAAAGGCGCATTAAAATGTAGCTCTTAAATTAATATTGTCAAAGTGAAAATGGAACAAAAAATTAACGTTAAATTTTGCTTCAAATTGGGCAAGACAGCTGCGGAAACCTACAAAATGTTAAAACAAATTTGCGGTGAGGAAGCATTATCCTGCTCAAGAACTTTTGAATGGTTTAAACGCTTTCGGGATGGGCACAAAAGTGTCGAAGATGATCCACACACGGGTCGGCCGCAGTCCGTACGTATGCCGGAAGCAATTGAAAAAGTTCACGATATGGTGAAATGTGATCGTTGATTGACTATTCAAGTACTCTCCGATGAATTCAACATGGACAAAGAGCCGGTTCAGCGAATTTTGACGCAAGCCCTAGGCAAACGCAAGATTTGTTCCAGATTCGTTCCTCACCATTTAAGGGACAGAACAAAAGCGACTTGAGACTGGACGCATGTGGCGAACTTATCAACAACACTGATGCTGACTGCTGCCTTCCTGGATAGGACAATCATGGAAGATGAGTCTTGGTGTTATCAATATGACCCTGAAACCAAGCGTCAAAGCTCCGAATGATGGTCTCCAAGTTCACCAAAGCAGAAAAAATTTCGATTTGAAAAGTCCAAAATCAAGGTCATGTTAATTGCTTTTTTCGATTGCGATGGACTCATTCATCATGAATTTCTTCCTCATTCAACATGACTATCAATGGACAGTTCTATGCAGTTTGACCAATTTCAAAAACGAATTCATAGAGTGAGGCCTCATTTTCAGCAAAATGGGAGTTGGCTGCTGCTACATGACAATGCTCGCCCACACATTATGTTGCCTGTGAGGCGATTCTTACCCCAGCATGGTGTCGTTGAAATGCAGCATCCACCATACTCTCCAGACCTAGCACCCGCAGACTTTTTCCTGTTTCCTAATTTGCTGAAGGGAACAAGATTTCAGGATGTCGAAGCCATCAAGAAAACTGTAACGTCACTATTAAAGAGCATTCTAAAAGAGGACTTTAAAACTTCTTTCCGAAATTTGTACAGCCGAGCACAGATGTGCATTAAGGCTGATGGGGATTACTTTGAATCATATTAAATGGCTATGTGTTTAACCTACGTATTTTTCTTCTGAGTTATTCCATGATTCCTGGAAATTAATAGCCGTACCTTGTATATATGTATATATTTTTACATTCCTAATGTGTATTACATTTTGTATTTAACCCTTTGACATGATTGCATTATAAAATTATGAAGAGTGATAAATTTTTTTAAATATTTGCTGCCGAAAAGTATATCATACTTATAAATTTTTAAATAACAAATGGGGACTGAAGTCGTATAACTTTCGTATTTTGTCATCAATATAAATTTCAAGAAAACTGACATGTTTAAAATTTTATTCATAGAAAAATAATATTCTTGTAATATGTTATAATATTTTAAGTACTTTGAAATTAGTTACACTGTTAATGGCATAACTTTAGATTTGAATTTTGAAGAAGACTGAGGACTTTTTTAGTTTTGTTTTAAAATTAGCGCATAGGTTAGGTTATTTCAGGGTTCTTACAGTCCTTAAAAGTTCTTAGTGTTTTTTTGTTTTTTTTAATGGATTTTTGGCCTTTAAAAAGTCTCTAATCTCAACCAAAACAGCAGGTTTTTAATTTTAATAATCTGAAATTTCTCTTTGTTGTTGCGACTGCCATTTTGACTGTGAATCAGCATTTTGGAGGAATATTTTTGGCGTTTTACTGACATATATATATTTCAAGGGTTACCATTTGAATTTGTTCTTGTTTGTAATATAAACAGTGCAATACTTGAGTTTCTGGGGCAAAAGTGAAGCATAAGCATTTCAAAATTCTTTATCTTTTTCCTTAGCCCCAATAAAGTGCTCTTATACATCTTTTCCCTTTTGGGGATGTAAATTCTTTTATTAACTTGTTGACTGCCATGCACATTTTACGTGGTTTGCCCATGACGCCAACTTGAAATTTTTATTATGTGATGTATATTAGGTTGAAATATTATCTACAGAAGATAACGTAAGTTATATTGTACTTAATGTAATTTTCGTGGTGAGTGGTCACCAGTGACCCCCCAAGGCTCTGTAGACCATTATTGTGTTTTATAATTTAAATTTTTATGATTTATTATTCTTCAAATCATTATAGCAACAATGGTACTATTTAAAAATTTATCAGTATTGATATTTACTCTAATTATGTATTTTACTATTGGTTGCATCGCCGGTTACCGGTAGCACCCATGGCGCTGTAGCCAAGTCGAGTGCTGCTGACCCCCAGAGCAGTCAACGTGTTAAACAGCTCTAAATTTGGCGTCTTATCATTTTGGTGATTTTAAGATCAATTCCTATGCAAAATTTTTAATTTGAAGATTTGTGAATTTTTTTATGATTTAAAAAATATAACATTCATAAATTTCATTAAAATAATGGTAATATATTAAAATTATATTTAAGAAATGCCATTAAAATAAAATGTTATTTTTCTGTATCATATAAAGTGGCATTATTTTCCAGTTTGGTGAATTATTATTACAATATTTTGAATCTGGAAAATAAGCAAGGTAATAAATGCTATAAAGCACACGCTTTACGAAACAATTCTTAACAAAAGCAAAATAGCTATGTAGTTATTTTTAAATGTCTTCTTTTTTGATTTTTTATGGTGAGTTTATCCCCATGTAATTTTTTCAGAATTTGCATCATTTTTCTCTATGAAATTCATTTTACCCTTTTTTTCTCTAAAATTTTTTAAAAAATACATCTGTCTTTTTTTTTTTTTTTGGTAGTTACAGAACTGGTAAAATAATTTTTCTTTTGTATTTTCATTGAACTTTGCAAAGTTTATAAGGATCTGAAAGCAAGACTTATAGACCTACAATTCTTGAAGATTCCAGAAAATTCTGATAAAATGAAAAATGTCTTCATGGTATTAAGTTGTAATGGCGATATTTTAAAAATAAGGCCCAATTAAGGACGAGACAGTTTTTTCAATATAACTTTGTACAAAAGCTTTCCAAATCCACACATTTAATACTGTAAGATCCTCAATACGTAAGGACATGAGTAATGTAAGCAACACTTACTAAAAGAGAAATCAGAGGGATAAAAAGAAGCTTTATTGAAAAAGTAGCATGGAGCGCAATGCGACTGAAGGCCGAAACATCCCTGTGATGGGTGTCCAGCAAGAAACATCCGGTCTTTAATAGGGGATATGATCTCCCCTGACTGCTAGGCAGGTTTCACAGCGTCTGCCCATGCTGAGAATGAGTTGTTGAGGCATTTGTCATTTATTGTGTCAATGAGTTGTTGAGGCATTGCTGCCCATTCGTCTTGCAGCGCTAATCGAAGCTCCGGAATCGTTACTGGTGGTAAGGTACGAGCTGCCAAGCGTCTGCCTAAAAAATCCCATACATGTTCGATGGGATTGAAATCCAGAGATCGTGCCGGCCAATCCATACGTTCAATATCCTCACTCTCTAAGAGCTGTTCGGCAGCTACTGTGCGATGACACGGTGCATTGTCGTCCATGAAAAGGAACTGCGGACCCATAGCGCCTCTAAAAAGACGCACATATGGAAGAAGAATCTCGTTACAATAACGGGTCCCGTTGACTGAACCTGCGTCGAAGATGTGAAGGTCTGTACGACTCCCAAGCATGATGCCTCCCCAAACGAGAACACCGCCACCTCCATACCTGTCCCTTTCAATGATGTTCGAGGGATGATTGCGGCTTCCCCGCTCTCTCCAGATGAGTATGCGATGAGAATCGCTACTCAGACTGAATCTGCTCTCATCTGTAAAGAGTACTCGTCCCCATTCATTGTCTCTCCAATTCTGGTGTTACCGGCACCACAGAGAACGCTTTCTCCGATGGGCAGGCGTTAGAGGTACACACCGTACAGGGCGTTGTGCAAACAGACCACCACCGTGCAGTCTTCTGGCCACGGTAAAACGCGATATTGGTCGTCCAGTTGCCTGTGTCGTGTGTGTAGCGATTTCTCCCGCTGTCTGCCACCTGTTTCTTCTGGCCTGTAAGGCAATATACCGGTCATCTGCGAGTGGGGTTCCTCATGGACGACCACTACTAAACCCCCGGATAGCTGTTCCTGTAGTTTGAAATTGTCTCCAAAGTCGTGAAACGATGCTATTCGACCTCGGGTAAAAGCATCCAGATGTCATCTAACAGATTGGTTATTCGCCATTTCTCGCTGAGGCAGCAACTTGGTGTGATTTTAACTGCTATACGGTGTGCAATCTCTTTTGCCAGAAATACTGATCTTACACCGACAACATGCTTTATACTACTCAGACACTCCCACATTACGTCTACCTGCATATCTGCGCATGTGCTACGGTACATCACCTTACTTAATCTCCTGATTGGTCTTTCTGTCTGCTCTGCCTCTTCGTTCAGCTGATATGCTAATTTTTCGATTTCGTCCTTAATTTTTGCACACCAGTGTATAAAGAGAAAGAAAATTATTCTTCAAGGCTGTGTACAGTTATTGTTATTTTTAATTTCAGCCTTTACTATATTTTCTCCTTTCTTTTTCCTTATCAGGATGCAAATCAGTAACATAGCATTTAAACTGAGGTTTTTGAATTGTAAGACAGAGTGTTTTTCTAGCCTCAGCTTGCACACTGCATTAGTTCCTGCCTGCTGGGATAATTTGTAATTATTCAACTTTATGTTATCATTACTCATATTTGAATTTTTTATGATGATAGAGTTACTGAGCCAGCTGAGTTTAAAATTAAATTTTGTAGTCTTTGAGTACTAGTCAATATTTTAATTTAAGTTTGACTGTTTCGTCGTTAACATAAAGTTTCATGTTGTGACCATTTCCACATATTCATTTGTTAGGTAAAATACCATTCTTAAGAAAATAATATGGCATCCACCTCATAACTTGTTTATTTAAATATTATTGATGTCATGTTCACACACACACACACACAAAAAAAAAAAAAAAAAAAAATGAATACATTTTAAAATAAATAATGCAAATTAGGCTATGAGGTATAAGAATATGCAACCAGTGATGTACTATCACATGGTGTGGTATAAGAACACACGCAGATTTGGTGAAATCTGTTGGTTGATTGGTGATTAAATCTCGGGCTGCTATGATAAAGAAGTACCAAAAACACAAATCATATAATGACTATCACACTTAAGGGGGAAAATGCCTTCTAAAAGGAATTTCTAAAACAAACCAGCTCCTGTTCACATTAAACATGGGGAGAACCAAAAAAACTCAGGTAGTACATTTAAATTTACACTTTAAGTCATGCAGTTATACATTATACTAACAGCGAATGGAATTTTTTTTTTTTTTTTTTTTTTTTTTTTTTTTTAATCAAAGGGGATTAGGTCTGAGGACAATTATAATTCTCTCTTAAAACAACTGCTCATGGACAGTAGTGGCGGTCTGAGTTAGGTGAAAATTCTATACTAGTGTTTATTTATATTCTCAGAAATACTGGTTATTTTCAGAAGGGATCATCTTAGGAGCATTGTTGTGATGGCAGTGTTTATTATATTTCAAAGACCTAAAGTATATTCACTAATGATAATAAGTTATTGATCACAATGAGCAATTATTTTCCATATTTTCATATACAAATGATCTAGACTTCAGGTCGATAATGATTTCTAAATGATGACATTAAGTGGTATCGTGTAATTATGTGTTTTTCTACATTTTTGGTACTTTTAAATTATATGATAAAATTTTTTTTTCTAGATTGATATACTTGTAAACAATGCTGGTGTTTCTCAAAGAGCAGATTTTCCTGATATTGATATAGAAGTTGACCAGAAGCTATTTAGTGTAAATGTGTTTGGGTCTGTAAACCTGACTAGGAAAGTTCTCAAGCATTTTCTTGAGCAAAAGAAAGGCCATGTAGTAGTGACCAGTAGTCTTGCTGGAAAAATGGGTAATGTTTATTCCAAAAGCAACCTTATCTAACTTGTTACGGTGGTAAGCATATGTAAAATAAAATAGGATTGTGTATCACAAAGTTGACTTTTTTTTTTTTTTTTTTTTTTTTTTTTTTTTTAGGAGCACCATACTCTTCAGCTTATACTGGATCAAAGCATGCTTTGCATGTAAGTACATTTCTAAAATATGTATAACTGCCCAATATGTTGTCAAATAAAAATATTTTGTAGAGTGGGATTATTAATAATAAAAAAAATTCTGTAGTGAGGCTAAAATTGAAAAGTTTTTTTTTCAAGTGCATCTGATGATGCATACTAATTCCCTTTAAATGTAAATTGCAATGGATGATGAACTTAATATTTTAGTTTTATATAATATATAATTGTTGCTTTATAAAATTTTATTTAAAAATATATTTGTATTTACATCTAAAATTGTTTGGTTTATAAGAATTTTTATTTTCACATTTAATCATGTATTGTTTTATCCTTTGGGGATTGTGATTGCTGCTTTGATGGATGGCTTTCCAATTTACTACATGTGAAAATTTCTGCCATATCCTGATGGATTAAATTTCAGGCTGGTTGTATATTAGAAGAATAAGAATTAAAGTGCAAAGTGAGAGGGCCATTTTGGAATAATAGTAATAATACCACTTTTTCATGGCATTTTGAGGAACATAATGTTTTCAGGACCAAATTTGCAACTCTCGGAGAATTAAAGATAATAAATTAAATTTTGAAAAAAATTGTAGTTGTAATTTAAATAATTTTTAAAGCTTTTACTCAGTATGCTTGCAGAATAACATATAATCTGTGTGTATGTATACAGACATGCAGTGATTACATCTTGTAAATAAGAAAGGAAAAATTTGATCATGTTTCTTTCTTGGGCTTTAATAAATCATACCTATTTGGAGACAACTGCATAGTCATGTGATTCATGCCATCATTATTTGGCAATACACATATTTGTAAACAATTATTTCCAAAAGTGAAGCAGAGTAAGAATAAAATTAGAACCAGAATATCAGTTGAACATCTTGAGAATTGCTCCACTTCAATCAAACCTGACATTGATTTATTAGTTTCTCAAATTCAAGGCCAAATATTACATTAATTTTATGATTTCTTTATATTTTTGTAATTATAAACAAAATTCTAAAATATCAGTTTCAGTTGCTGTCATTATATTAAAAAAATCATAAAGTTTAAATTGTGTTAATATTATTGCTTTTACATTTTTTCTTTTGCTCATCAGCCATCGTTAGTGTTAGAGAGTGGTGGCTCGTCACATGAGTCAAGTGAATCATAGATTTGCTTAACAGTTTTCTGTATATGTGCTTTTTAATATATACAGTACAAAGTCCGAGATCGGGACTTCGGCAATTCTGGATTTGGGATTTTTCCGAATATTAGATCATCAGTTTAAAATTAGTAAAATGGCATTTAGAAATTATAAAATTTAAATATGAAATCATGATTTATGAAATAAAGAAGCATTTATGATCTAAAGCTGTGCTTCTCAACCTTTTTTGGTCTGCGAACCTATGTCCCCCCCCAAAAAAAAACCTGTACAAGGTATTCAAGAATTACTGCATAAGTTAATTATAATATTCTTCTTATTACCATTTGCTTACAATAATATTTAAATATAAAAATAAGTAAATATTGTAATTATTACATGTTAGTATAATTATCATATATAAGTAAATAAACCTTTGAGAAAAATCACACAATATTACAAAAAAAAATAATCACAAAACCCTTGCGTATAAAAACATATCAGTGACAGTCCCCGGACAAGCGAATGAACACTCCTTATCTACCATACCTGAAGTGCCACTTGTCAGCCTCTTCTTGTCCTCAAGTGGCAACTACTGAAATAATCGGAATTCATAATAATGCTTTCATTGGAAAGAACATCTCTACAAGCAACACATTCAGGTTTTAGACAATTTTCTTCTGATTATGGCCAAAAGACAAAACCATATTTCAAATAGTATGCAATATAGTGCCTTACAAAGCTTTTTCTTTTTTTAGCAGATTGTGGACTATATTTACCTTCACATGTATTCGAACGAGAGGACGACGTACTTGGTTTTGGAAAATCCTTTCTTTGCACGAAATTTAGTAATGTGCCTTTTGTTTCCTTTTTACTCATCCTGGTTATTGATTTTTAATCTACCTAAAGTTGCAGAAATAGTAGTTATAGCACAATATTAAATTCAGTGTTTGTTAAAAACTTACACTGATATATAGTTTTCAGTTGTCCAAACGTGCAGAAGAATGTAAGCGGGATAAAAAGCGAAACCTAACCTAAGATGCCTTAAACACTACGATAGATATTCAGCGTTCAAGTAATCAGCAATACTCAAGGCAGATAGGGGCACACTAGCTGGTGTACTAAGTGTACAGCACAGCAATTTATGAAAGGCAATTAGTTGCCAGTTTTTTATAGTTTTCATCATCGTTCATATTATTTTCTAAACTAGTAAACTATTGTTATTGTAATGTACTGTAATTTCAGGTAGATAAACTGCATCTTATACGTGTTTAAAAGTTGAAAATTTAGGTTGGCGGAGTATCCACCAGAGCGGCGTATCTGGGGGAATTTTATTTTTCTTCTGTCCTTAAAACTTTGCTAATTCAGATCGTAAGTAACGCAAAAGCGAGGCAGTAAGAATTCGCTGCAATATTCTAACCTCAGTTGTGCTAAGGCAGTGCAATGAGTCCAAACTCCCCTAAGGTAGATGGTGCTCTCTGTAAAGACACTGTAATGCATGTACTTCCTCCTAAACTCCATGGTTCGACGTTTTCCTGTGACTTTTTGTTTTACTGGCAACAGCTACGTTTACTTGCCAAGTGCTGTGTTCATTCATACACATTTTTACTGCTTTGTAGCTTGCTTTTTGTTTGCCTTATCATTTACGCTTTAAAAATATTATTATTGTCCTGGCTTCTACTCGAAGAAAAAGTTATATAGCTGCTTTTAAACTTTCAGCAGTGAAGAAAGCCATTGAAATTGGAAATTGCTCTGCGGCTAAAGAATTTTAAGTTGACGAGCGATGCATTTACCGGTGGAAGCTTGAATAAGAATTAGAGGAAATGCTTAAGAATAAAAGATCTCGTCGAACTGGTGTCATAGCCTGGCCTGTTTTGGAAGACAATTTAGAGAAAGGGACAATAGAGCAGTGAGAAAGTGGATTATCAGTACCAACAGTTAGAATTCGCCTTCAAGCAAAGGTAATTGCTCAACTAATGGGCATTAAAAATTTTGTTGGAGGACCTAATTGTGTTTCAGGTTCATGAAGTGAAAGAAATTATCCGTCCAGACCAAAACAACAGTTGGACAAAAGCTTCCAGTGGACTGGCTTGAAAAAAAGAGTTTTTTTGGAGTACACATCTAAAAAAATTAAAGAACAAAATTTGAAAAGAGGGCAAATAATTAATATGGACGAAGTGCCCATTACTTTTGACTGTCCTCCGAGCAGAACTGTTCATTCAATAGGGGAAAAAACTATTTTAGTGTTAACAACCGGGAATGAAAAGACTTCTTTTACTTGTGTTTTGGGTTGTGCCACCAATGGAGAAAAGTTAACCCCTTTGATAACTTTCAAAAGAAAAACAATTCCAAAAGGAAACTTCCCAAAAGGAGTTATTATTTGCACCAACAAAAAAGGATGTATGTGTGAAGAAGTGATGTTGTTTTGGCTGAGAGAAATTTATCAGTAAAGGAAAGGTGCTTTTTTCCAACCCCAAGGATTCATTGTTCTGGATTCAATGTGATCCCATTTAGTGGATACGGTAAGATCTGAAAGAAAAAAACTTAGCACCAATGTCTCAGTGATACCAGGTGGGCTTACAAAAATTTTACAGCCGCTAAATCTCACTATCAATAGAACTTTCAAGCACGAACTACGAAAGCAGTGGGAGGAATGGATGCAAAGCGGACTCCATTCCTTCACGAATGAGAAAAGCTTCGTATGAGGAGGCTGCCTTATGGGTCGATAAAGCATGACAATCAGTCTGAGCTAATACGATCGTATCGGATTTCATTAAATCAGAAATCATTGAAAAAGAAAATGAATGTGAAGATAGTGACGTTGAAAGAAGTGATTTAGAACAGAATGATGAAACTGACCTTGATGGTCATTTGTTAAATTTACTTAAATCAGACATCGATGAGTCGGATTTTGAAGGTTTTGTATAAATAAATGTAGTTTAATTTAATTAGAAAATTCTGTTTGTTTATCTAATTTACGTATTCTTTTTCATAATGTGGTAATTTATGCTGATAAACGGAGTTTACTGAAAAAGTAAAAATAATATATTAGAAATCATCAGAGTTTGTTTTCGGCAAGTTCAAGGTAAGATGTTTCTTCTTTATATTACTGATTATATTTATGTTGTAAATGTTATCAATGATGATTACACCAATATGGCAGGGAATTACTGAATGAATGAATATTGATTGTCATGCTTCGGAATGCTTGGCTGCAGCCTGCAGCGTATACGGCAGTGCGGCTCATTCAATCACCTTTTATTTTTTTTAATCAATTATCATATGTGCGGCGCATATGCCAGGGCGGCTTATCTACCCGAAATTATGGTATATGCTATTGTAATATCGGTTGTCGGCCGATGACACTTTCTGTTTTGAACAGATAGCGGACCAGCAGTTGAGAAACCCTGATCTAAAGGGTATCAAAATTTACAAAAAAAAAAGCTTAATATTTATTTGTTTACTTTATTAAACATTTCTTTGAATGTAAGGTGTTTAAGTTCCTTTTTTTGTGGTAATATTTTTCTCTAATTCTATAGATAGACATAATTTCCTGTTCAGTTAACAAAATTCCACTGTTCAAGTCCTGCAACTGTTGTGCAGAGAATTTCGACTAACTTGCCAATTGAAATTTTTTCGTTTTCAATAACCTCTTTGTCATCTTGTCACTTTCTTCTCTATCGGTAGCGGTATTTTCTGGATGTAGAACCATAGTACAGATTTTGCCGTCTGTTGATTGATGTTTGGATCATTGTCATTGCAATGAAAAACTTCTGTTGTATGTCTTCATATGTTACCGCTTCTCCTCATTTCTTTACAAAATCCATTATTTGGAAAATTTCTCCTTTGGTTTGCAATATCTGAAAACCTTCTCATTCGTGGC